AAGGATACCGGCTACAAAGGTGCCTTCGAAACCCTAAGGGGTTTGTAACTTGACCGTGTCTAAGACTTGAGGGTCTCGGGGCTGGAAGATGAGGGAACGAAGAATGCTTTAGATTTGACTCGCTGATTGACCTATCCGATCGGGGATTCACCTGGTCAGGGTTAAGGGCATCAAGGCTTAACACGGTTTTTGCATAGGATCGGTCGCAATTCCTACATATGCCTTGCTTCCCACGTTGCTTGAAATGTTGGCACCCATCGGATAAATCCTGCTCACGCTGATCTAATTCATTTTCGTCAAAAGTGAGGTTTGCAGAAACATCTTCGATTATACTTAGATCTTCGCATAAGGGCAAATAGTTTAAAACATTCTTAGCCTGAAAAGGCTCGCGGTTCAGGCTTAATGAGTAATCTTTTTTGAAGGAGTCGATTGTAGTCTTAGATTGTTGTGTGGATAATAGGGCATTGTTCTTTATTTCAATGATAACTGTAGGGAAACTTTCCTCAGCGGGCAGGTTATCTACATTAACTGGGGTTGATAATGCACCAGATGGGTGATTTATTTTAGTTGATCCATCGTGTTGGGGATTTACATTGTCAGGACTGTTAAAGTAATCTAAGCTGTTATCTTCACCACACTGTTGACTTATAGGGGCCGAAGTGTCATCAGCATGCGCACTTTTTTCGGGTGGACTGTCACGAGGTACAGCACAAGCATCGGCATTCGCAGTTGAGATAGCATATTCATCGCTGTCATCGACATATACAGTTGTTCCAGGCGCAAGGCGACTAGAAATAGCACTACAAGCATCTATATTCGTAGTTAAGATATTATTTCCTTTAACTATTTTTTCACACGGGCTCAGGTCACTACTCCCATTTGTTGTATTCTTTGGCGACAATCTCCCCTCCAACTCCGAAATACGTGATTTAAGATGTAAATTTTTGCAGGTCGATTTGCATAGCTCTTGTTTATTTACATTTATGGTATTATTCTGTTCAAAGAGTTTGTACGACAAAACTTGTAGCTGAGTTTCAACGTTTTCTTTAAATGTTAGAAATTGAGCTTCGGGTTTAGGCAGGTTAACTTCAGAGCGTCTTTGCGCTAGAGTAGAAAAGTCTGTCGGCTGGACAGGATTAGATAGCTCGACAGAGGCGCTATAGAAAGACTTGTCAATAAAGGCCTCAAGTTCCTTTATAGTAGTCGTATTTGGACTTAGAAGCATATCATCAGATTTGGATGTATCGCCCAAGACATCGGTTTCAATATCACATAGATCGTTAATTTTAGACAAGTTGATTAAATCCTCAATATTATTCATTTGACACATCAAGGGCTGCATTGGCGGCGATGCAGTCTTACTTTTATTGTCAACATGCTTTGTTGGTAAATTCTTAAGATTTAATGAGTTTCTTTCATTTTCAATTTCTGACAAATTCGCTTGAAGCTGTTTGATAGTGATATCTCGCTCGTTTATCGCTCTGTTTTTCTCGTCTAAAATTATGGAAAACTCCTTAAGCAAGGTCTCCATTCTGGTGTCGTACGATATTTGACGGTTTTCGGTGGAGTCCAAAACCTTACTAATAGATTCTATAATCGCGTTGGTAGAGTTAATAACATTGTTTATAGATGTTATTTGTTTTTGCATAACTGTTATGTCCGCTTTAACCCCTTTCATATCGTTGGTAAAAGTATTGTACGACCAACTGAGATATTTCAACGGGGTCGATTCAGTAACTGCCGGGTTATTGTCAGTGATAATTTCGCATGTTTTAACTGGAGATATCTCTGCAGTGGCTGTTTCAAATACCGAATCCGCTATGTTGGTCATAAAATCAATGTCCGTATCCGTGGTTGTTTGGCCAATACAAGTTATATCTAAGACACTCACCAGATAATTCTTGAGCAGATCACCATCCTTTCCTTGGAATAATAGCGAATTCTGTTTGCCCGGGTAAAGTATTAGTGCAGAAAGTATTAGTGCAGAAAGAGAAAACAGATTTGGGTATAAAGTATTAGTGCAGAAAGAGAAAACAGATTTGGGTATTTCAATGTGATTTGCTTCAAACAAAGTAGCGTCTCCCCGGTTGGCGTAGATGCGAAACAGTCAAAATTCCACAGACCGAAGGAATCACAAGCCATTCGACTGAGGAAGAGATTATTTATATTTAAAGTTTATAATAATACGAGTCATTCAACGATTGTTTCAAGGACAACCGATAGCCAAAACGAGCGACAGACCGTCCTTGAAGATAATTCGTTCATCACAAATATCACTGAAAGGTAAATCAAAGCTTCTGTTATTACTGAGCATTTTGTTCGTCGAATTAACGTTAGTTTGAGCAAAAACGCGGGCGTTCGGGGCGCCATTGCTAAAGAACATTTTTATACGGACACGACACTGCTAAACCGGATATAGACTATCATAAAAAAAAAAAATAACCATCGCTCAGGATGCCACCTAAAATAAACTTCAAAACGCTCTTAGGGAAGCGAGACAATGCTATACATGCTTTAAAAGAATTGTTTGAAGAGTTTGAGACGGTGTTTGAAATTCAGCCACAATTAAAAGGCTAGAACAAATATTTACAATACTCGAAACCAAATACAGAAGTATCAAGGAGCAGCAAGAATTCATCGCAGACAAATATGTAGAGGGGGGTGTAGAAGAAACGCTGAAGGAAGCTCACAAAAGAATAGGTGACGCTGTAAAGGAAGAATATTTGAAGATATCTAAAAAGTTTGCTGCCTACCAAAAAGAAGTAAGCTCCAAGAAACCTCAAGAAGAGACAGAAACCTTAAAGGCAATGACATCCGCAGTTCTAAAAATGACGGAGACCATGTCCACGGGATCAAAACCTAGTAAGAGTGGACTTGAACGTTTGTCAGTTCCATCATGGGATGGCAGCCGTAGAATGTACCCTACCTGGAGGAAGGAGTTTAATCACTGGATGAAAAAGTATGCACAAGATGAAGATGAACAATTGCAACGTTTCAGGAAGGCGTTGCCAAGCCATTTGTGGTGGACAGATCAAGTAAAGACCTGCAGAACCATCGACCAAGCTTGGAAAATCTTAGATATTGAATTTTCAGACAAACGAAAGCTAATGGATGAACTTTTGGCAGGAATTTCCAAGCACGACCAGGTCAAAAGGGACTCCAAGTCATTAATTCGGTATGCTACCACAATATCGAGCTATGTGAATGACATGGAAGCCAACGATTGCATGGTTACATCTTCTTCAGAGGCACCATTCTTCATGTCACAACTGTTGTTCAAGCTCACCCCAAGTGATAACGCTGAGTTCGGGAGAGAAATGAAGAGGAACAAGAAGGAAGAAAGTGTACTCGGTCTTGTCGAATGGCTGTACGAAGAAGCAGCTCTTCGTTCCAGGGGCAAGCTTGAATATGATAACGAGAGTGCAGAACAAAGTCGACGTGTGTGACCCTTCAGAAAGTTAGACACCCGTAACCTAGCTACTGAAATTCCTGAAGATGCAACCTGCCCCTTCGATTGCCCAGAAGAACATCTTCTTGCTGCCTGTCCAATTAACAAGAAGCTAACGGTAAACCAACGTTGGGACATTGTTCAGCAAAATAAGAGATGTCGCAAGTGCTTGAGAGCATCGCACCATACAAGAGATTGTAAGAAGCCAGATGGCACCTCCTGCGACAAGTGCAAAAAGAACCACCACAAGTCTTTGCACAATGCCCCACCTTTGGATCCAAGTGCAGTACCATTTTCCGTACAGGAACGAGCTATCTCTCAGAACCATAACATTGAAGGGATCAAGCATGGGATCGGTCTCTGCCCCATTCAGAAAGTAAAAGTGAAGGATGCCGATGGAAATTTCATGGACATGCTAGCATTGCTAGACACTGGATCAAATACCAGCCTACTCTCAAAGAAAGCGGCTATGAAACTGGGATTAACTGGATCTCAAATTCACCTCACCATGAATCTCGCTGGAGGGAAAAAACGTTCAGAAGATTCTGAAATTCTAGAAATCGCCGTAGTCTCATGTACCGAGGAAGATATCGAGAAAACTGTCCAAGTGTATACGGTTAAAAAACCATGTAACAGCGCTAAGACAGTGTCGAAAAACAGCCTAGAAAGTTACCCCCACCTGAAGTCCATCTCCGAAAAGCTACATCTTTCCGGTGGTGCTGTAGATCTCCTCATCGGGACTGATCTTGCTGAAGCCTTCGTCGATGTTCACACAATCTCTGGTCGATGTGGGGAACCCATTGCCAAGAGAAACTGCTTTGGATGGTATATTATTGGCCAACTAGACCCAAAGATACCGGATGGTGCAAAAATACAGTCAGTTGATCTCAGTCACGCGAGCGTCATGGAGAATGTCAATCAACTTCTTCAACAAGATCAGATAGGAATCAAACCTACACGTTTCTGCACAAGTAGTGAAAGTGAATTGCGAGAAAGTAAATTTGTGAAGTCTGTCTCTCAATCAACGACTCTGGTTGATGGAAGGATTCAGGTAAAGATGCCGTGGAATGGAAAGGGACCTCCGAAGCAAAGTAACTACGACATCGCTGAAAAGAGAATGCAGTCAGCCGAAAGGTCATTCGAAAAGAAGGGTTGCATTGATGTTGTCGACGAAGAAGTAAAAAAGTTAGTGGATCAAGCGTTTGTCATCAAGGTTCCTCCCGAACATGTCAACCACACCCAAGCAGAATGGTATTTGCCACTGCAAGCCGTCTTCACCCCAGAGAAGACAACCAAAGTGCGGCTTGTCTTTGACTCATCATGCAAAGGACACGATGGGCTCTCGCTGAACGACCGCCTGAAAAAGGGTCCAAACTATATCAATCAACTGCCGAACGTTCTAACAGCATGGCGGTGGGATGAAGTGCCTTACTCGGGGGATGTCCGGAAAATGTTCAATCAGATTATGGTTCATCCAGAAGATCAAATCTATCACAGGTTCCTATGGAGAAGCAAGCTGAGCGACACCCCAACAGTGTATCAATGGCTACGATTAAGCTTTGGCGACAAACCAGCCCCTGACATTGCCGCAAACTCCATCAACACCCTGGCAAAAGCGTCATTGTCCGAGTTCCCAGACGCATCTAAAGAACTTCGGGAGCATGC